AATAAATACAAATTATTCCGCTGCTTAGCTTGTAGAATAATGTTGCCTTTTTCATCTTTGATAACAGCTTTGTATTTATCGAATACTGTGAATTTACCGTAAGCAGCGGCTTGGCTTACTGACAAAAAATTCATGTGCAACGTTGGAACGAACAACACCTCCTCCAACTGTATGTTTACGTTTTCTGCGCAGAACATAACTGTGCCAAAACCCGAAGATTCTATATACTCTTCCGTCGCAAGCATTATCTGTGATTTCTTTTCTATAAATGTACTAAATAAGTTTTTATTGCAGCACATATGAGACGTCGCACCAGAATCAAGACACCATACAAATTCGTTTTGTTTACACACACTGATATGCAATCTCTGGCGCGATGGCCGATTTTTCTGCACTTGTAACATTTTCCATTAAACTGAATTTTTTCGTACTGCTTTTCGTCTTTGCTGTCTTTTCCGCGACTTTTGAAAACTGTACTCTTACTTTGTAAGTTTCTGTGTGCATATACCGCTTGATCAGTACGTTCTCTCCTATCTCTCTCTTCTTTTCTCGCTCCTTCTTCTAAAAGCTTTACCTTAACTGTGTCGAAGCAAGGTAACTTGTCCCGAGTTTCGATTGCTACGACGAAACTCTCCCAATTACTTGGCAAATTGGACAATATCATGATGACCTTCAAATCATCTTGGATACGTATATCAAGTTCGGCGAACTTATCGGTAGTTTCCGTAAATGCGTTTATATAACTGTTGACACTATGCAGATTTAGACCCAAGAGTTTTTGATAGAGCTGTACCTTTTTGGCTGGACTGCCAGATGCATGAATCTCTCGAAGTTTCCTCCATTCCGTGTATGCACTTGAGCAGTGCTTAATATGCATCAACTGTGTCGGCTTCACGTTTAGGATCAGGGACGCCAGCACCTTCTGGTCAATAATTTCCCAAGTGGCACACTCCGCCTTGTCTAGGGGCTTGGTAATGCCTCCACTTGCAACACTCCACAAATCCTGGGTGACTAGTAAGCTCCGCATCGATATCGACCATACGTCATAGTTGTCTTCTCCAAATTTTTCTATTTGAGCAGACACACTCATTTTGTTAACGAACCACACTTCACAATTTATTGGCGTTTAACAAAAATGTACAGTTTTTTGAGTTCTCGAGATGACTTTGTCGAATCTCTGTATTTAAACTATTATATATTGCCGGTTTTCTGGGCCCATAATCTTTGTTGGAAAAATAACCACGTGGTATAGTGGATTATCCCAGGCAAAGAATAACGCAGCGGCTTTGTAGTTAATAGTTTAATCGTTATAGTAGAACTGAACTCGTGATTGTACGAGTATACACACTTAAGAACAAGAGTAGGCAGCGAGAGGAAAAAACATTTGTTTTGAAGCTCGCTGTTTGATAACATACATTCTTGTTACGTATAAAGATATGGTTACCGAACAGATTATGTTATGCTTACTGTTAAATACAATTTCAACAAAATATATTAAACTTTGATTTAATGACTTAAAATATTTTAAGTAAATATGAATAACATCATATCTAATATTATCAATCTGCATTTAAATCTATTCTTATTTAGTCAAGCAGTTTTATTTGTTTTGTGTTAAAAGGTATGTTTTTATAATTAATTTAAATATTTAAAACGAAACATTTAATTTGATACGCAGATATTAATTTTTTTTTATCCATCGTTTTTTTTGTATACCTAATAAATATTTAAAGCTAATATTATTATTTTATAATATGTTAAACTATTTATAATAACACGAATTGAATGCTTAATTATAAAACTAAGCTACAGGATATATATGTTATATTTTTTAGAATGTTTTTTCGGTGCCATTTTTTTTTATTTTTCCCCTTTGGGTTTCTCTTTTTTCTAAATAATTAAAATAGTTAATTTACAAATATTTATATAAATTTAATTTATATTATGATAATAATTTTATATAATGTTATTATAATACGTATAATATAAAAATAGCACATATTTTTTAATCCATATATTTAAAATACCATAAATATAAAAATTCTAAAAATCGTTCACACGTCGCATGCTGAATTCCCTAATGACAATTATTCCAATGTGAAGTCATGTATGAAATAAATTATGTTTTTTTTTATACTTAGATATATTTGGTCATTACTAAAAAATATACATTCGAATAATTAGTAAATACATAAAATAAATATAAAGGCAATACAAAATAAGTATTATTAATAATATTATAATTTTAAAATAAATAGTATATTTCGACAGCGCGCTGCAGCGAATTTCTTCGCTTGTGAATACATGTGCACACATACATTCGTCGGCTGTCGCAGTATGCGTGCAGAAGAGCGGCTGGCTTTAGAGCGCTCTCTCGCTGGCTTTTGGGCAGAGAGCGAAAAGCCAGTTGAAAAGCCAGCACAAAAAATTCGTGTGCAAAAAAATCGTATGGCGTTACGCATCTTAGAGTTTATATTGGTCTTTGGTTAGGGGATAGGGATCCTCCGTGTGACGTGTTAGTGCTCCAAAGTTCTTTAATGATATTTTCAATTTCCCCTGAACTATTCTTTTTCTCTTAGCTTCGTGCTCTTTTACGAATATGCCCTCGAGCCAGAAACTGACGGAACACACTGATGCAAAATGAGAACAAGGAATACCAATCTTAAATGATGATGAAAATTTAAATTGTTGAACCTTCAAGTCATTAACTTGGACTTTGTTACCGAAATATGATGCACTCATTGAAGTAGTAGCCACTCCTCTTATCGATGACATCGCGAACAAGGCATTTTGCATGATAAATTTTATCACATGTATGGCAGGGAATACTCTGCTATCCAGCCAAGATAACTTTTCTGCAGTTTTCAACGAACAGAATACCATTATGACAACATAGAGTAAGAATGTATATAGAGGTTTCATTTGCTCTGCCCGCACCTCTATTGCTGGACTGGTTGCTCTTATTGCTAAGGATTGGTGCGAGAATTCCATATACTTACCCATGCCCATGCTTGTACTTCGCACATGTTACGGGTGGTGAGAAACCGAAGTTAGCTTAGAACATGGCTCTCAGCAGAGCTTTGGCAGAGGTGCGGCAGAGCAAATGAAACCCCTATATAGATTCTTACTCTATGTCTATACAGATTCTTACTCTATGCCCGCACTGTGGCCAACAAAAAGTGAGGTGTATAAGAACAAAAACATGCGGAACTAAGGATGGGAAATACTATTAAATAAATATTAATATTATATTATTAATATAATACTATTAAAAAAATGGATTAAGTATAATCCGCTGACATGCTTAATCTGAAAATTGTTTGTCAATGAATGTTCGCCAAAAAGTTCGCGCTCATTGGTGGGCAAATGAAATTCTTGTGCGACGAAAAGTTGGACGAACAAAATCGTCTGTGGATGGTCGGCTTTAACTCCGATATTAGACATCTCTGAACGGGATAGACAATAAATGTGTGTTGCCGTACCAACAACTCCGTAACGATGTTCTACTCCTCAGAGATAAATTCAGAGAGGTAGAGAGAGAGAGATGTTACCGTTGGAGTGAAAAGTCGTTCCAACAGCGTCCGACGACGAAGATAAAAAACTTAAAAGGGAGGCAATAGAAAAAAAATACGACAAACCAGCACCGAAATATTGTTTAAAACGTTAAACAGTCACGTGTATAGTCTATGCTTATGTATGGGTTTCGGTTATAACTTTTTATACTAAGTTTTTGTTTATTTCTGTGTTCAATAAGTAGATAAGAACTTTGAGGAAGTACACACGAATTTATAAAAAATTGTATTAACACCAAACGTCGTTTTGGTTTAAACCTTCTTGTTCGACAAAGATGTCCTAAAGACGCCAAAGAAGTCGTGGCTAACGGTATCGAACTCATAGCTAGATAGTTGGAACGAATAAGTCTGGACTGTGTATTCCCTTGTGCTGGTATATGCATATCTTGAGGGAGGGTGGGTCCACTAATTGTGAAAACACAGCGGATTAAACTGAATTTTTAAAAGTCACAAGTTGCACACACTCCGCAGGGGGATACCTAATCTTTTTTAGCTGCTGATCGTAGCAACATTTGAGGAGATTCCGCCACCATCGCTTTTTTTAGCGCTTAGGAGACTCATCAAAAAGCTTACGGCCATTAAACTGCGAGTCCAGCGCAGAGAGGAGGTCATCAGCTAAGCGTTTTTAGAGCTACTCTATATTTGTTCACAACCAACAAGCCATGTTTGACTAGTCTGGCCTGATTACCACACTGCATTTTTGCAGTAACAGACCAAATTATTATTAAAAATTTTATTCGGATCAGCGAGCAATTGTTAGTACCACAAGAGCGCAGACACTGCACGCTTAGAACTTTTTACTTAGTGGGGAGACAGAAGGAGCGAGATATCGGGAACGTAATGCAGTTAATGTTCGCGAACCGAACCAAATATTAAAGTTATACAATATGTGACCGATTTTATACAAATTAAGATATGCCCACCAATGGGTTAATACGAAAGACACGACCGTTCACAAAGTCATCGAAGATCAATTATTTTATTTTTTGATAATTTTTTATTATGCTTAAAGAAAAAAATCTTTTAACTTTCTTCTAAACTTAAAATGTTTTTAAAATTTTAAGAAATAGTAAAAATGTTGTTTTTGCTAAAAAGTCTTGAATTTGAATTTAAATTAATATCACAAGAAAATTTATTTAAAAACAATTTTAACAATTTGAAGACTTAAAAACTACTATACTATAGAAACAAAAAAAATCTGTACTAGGAGTTAACAGTATTTAATCTAGGGTCAAGTTAATAATTACTGCGAGCCTTACGAAATTCATAAATGCGAATCGTTTTTTGTTAATTTGGTTTCAAATTGAATTAATTATATTTGACACCGGCATCTTTTGGAAAATTAATGAAAACGTATTCAAAGTTTAAAAACATTTTAACAATGAAAACTTACAAAGAAATTAACTATTTCGTTGTTTTATTTTGCAGATTGCCATGACTGGCCTTACAAATTATTGGCTCGCAATATGTACGATTTTAACATTGAGTCCATGCACCCCTGTTCCTCAGCAGAACTTGAACGCACAGAAACACATTGAAGAAATATTTAGCACTAATCCCAGTAGTCGTCCTGAGAAACAAAATAGCGGAATCGGATTGGTTGTTACACCTGATCCTATAGATCCTTTAAGTATACAGTCAAATTTTAACTCCATAAGTGGCAAAACTGCACAGTGCAATTGCGTGCCCTATTACAAATGCGACCCATCAACGACTAGTGTGACAGAAGACGGTTCGTTTGACGGATTCGGCGAAATAGATATTCGTTTTGACGCTGATGATCCGATCTGTCCTTCATCTGTAGACGTGTGTTGTGCTGATAATAGGACGCGTAATGAGACCTTAAATCCCAAGCCTTTGGATCAAAGACCGAACCAACCAAAAGGTTGCGGTGTTCGCAACACGGGTGGACTAGATTTTACTCTATCGGGAGTCACGCAAAATGAAGCTGGATTTGGCGAGTTTCCATGGACGGTTGCGTTATTGCATTCTGGAAATTTAAGCTATTTTTGTGCTGGATCGCTTATACATCAACAGGTGGTTTTGACAGCCGTGCACTGTGTTGAGAGTCACACATCAGGAACCTTTACGGTCCGTGCTGGGGAGTGGGACTCACAAACAACGAAAGAGCGTCTACCTTATCAAGAAAGAACGGTGCAAAGAGTAATCAACCATCCACAATTTAAAAGCAGAAACGTAGCTTACGATTTTGCACTTGTTATTCTAAGTCAAGCACTTAACTTAGATGATCACATTAATGTTATATGTTTACCACAACAAGAAGCTGTTCCGGCACCCGCCATCACATGCTTTTCCACTGGCTGGGGAAAGGATGTATTTGGTTCTTTAGGAAAATATAGCGTCATAATGAAACGTGTGCCTTTGCCCGTTGTGGACTTTAATTCTTGTCAAGCCCGACTTAGAAGCACTCGACTTGGACCTAAGTTTGCATTGGATAGGTCTTTTATATGCGCGGGAGGTCAGCGTGGCATTGATACTTGTCAAGGCGATGGTGGAGCCCCTCTAGCTTGTCCTATTGGAATATCATCTAACAATCGATATCAGCAGAGTGGTATTGTTGCTTGGGGGATTGGATGCAACGATGAAGTGCCAGCAGCTTATGCTAACGTAGCCTTGGTACGGGATTGGATTGACCAGCAAATGTTAGCCAATGGTTTCGAAACTAGTGTCTATACTGCTTAACTTGTGCCCAACCAATAACAAATAATAAAAGAAATATACATAAAGATGCAAAATGTTTGTTTGAATAAATATTATAAATATATTTAAATAATTAGTTTATTCCCTGGTGTTGTTTTATTAATACTATTATTATAAACATTTAAGAGATTTTATAATGGGGCAAAGCATTCATAATTGTTACTAATACATTTTTGCTTCAAAGGTGACGTTTTTGATGTTTTCAAAAGTCAATAGAACATGGGCCAGGAAAGGGGCTTACTGATGGTAAGACTCTGTACAGATATAGCTTAGTTAACAAAACCCTAATGTACCAGGGCTTTGTACATGCACTTTAAGATCCAGTGGGAATGGCTAGTTACTTATTTGTTTGAGCTACTGGAATGGGTGACTAAGTAAAGTCTACTCTTAAACAACAAAAAAAAAACACACGAGCATAATTTTGTTTTTAAAATGTTCGTGTGTTTTCTTATGTTGCAGCAACCATCACAAAACGCTTATGGCGGTAAATCGCCTTGTATTACTTGAACCTGTATATGCATGACTCTTTTTGTCTCTATTTAGGTTACAAACGTTTTATTTGCTTTTTATTTTTATTGAAAACTAAAGACAAGATGAATAAGCTTTACCGAGCCTTAACAGTTGCCTGTCTATACCAGCAGCACCGTAAATTAAAGTCTGTTTGCATTTGAAATGAGTATTCTGGTTTTTCTAGTAAAGTAAAATGAATTTGAGTTTTTCCCAGATTATTTTTTTTAACTTTATTTAATTATAATTTTTTTTTGTACCGTTTATTGTTTAGGGTAAAAATAAGTGCCTTTGCTCAAAGTTTATGGGAAGCCTACGGAATTACGTTAAAAATGTTTAACCCATTTATTAAGTTTAAATTAGTTTTAAAGAATACTTTTATAATATTTACGTAAAATAAGTAGGTCTCGCTAGTAGGTAAGGGATAATATTCATTTATTTTAAATGGAAACGTATGGCCAAGGATGGGTTTCTCGAAAAGTTTGTGAATATAATGTATGACAGTCTCTGAAAAATTAGATAGTTTTCTAATTTACAAAAGACCGAAAACTTATAGTGGCTTAAATTTTTAATTGCAAAAAAACGAACGAAAGCGAAAAGAATAAAGTCTCTACGGCTCAATTCAATTTCAACAATTATTTAGACAAATTACTTAGAGCCTAGCTAAACGAAGGTTGGCGAAGACGGGGCAACTTCGCCGAGAGCGAGAGAGAACTTTATTGTGCTCCCGCCTTCGCCCTAAACTAACTTACACTATGCTTCAATTTTTAACAATTTCATGAAAACTTCATAACTTGAGCCAACACCGGCCCCGTTGAACACCCATCGGGCTTCAACAGACTGGAAGCGGCGCTAACTTGTGAATGGCTCCCGAAAAATGCCTTCTCCGCTAAACCTGACGTCGACGATCCTGAACATGCCGTCCTCCCCTGCGTGCTTGGTGACTATTCTCCCGAGGAGCCATTGTTGGGTCGGCAGGTTGTCCTCGGCCACGATGACGAGGTCTCCCTCGAGGATGTTCGGCTGCTGCTGGTGCCCCTTGCCCCGAATTTGCAGGCCCAGGACATATTCCCGGGACCATCGTCGCCAGAACGTTTGCCTGACGAGACAAGCTGCTATCGCCGCAAGCAACTGAGACCCTTCTGGTCCGGGGTCCGGAGTGCTGGTGTGCTGGTGTGGCGAGCAGTGGCCCGCCTGTCAGGAGTCAGCTCCTCTCCGTCGCTTGGGTCTGTGTTGATCGTTCCGAGCGGACGGGAGTTCATCACGGCCTCGATTCCCCCGAGGACTGTCCCCAGGTCTTCTGCGCTTAGGAGCGCGCTGCTCACCGCCCGTAGGAGTATGTACTTGGCAGTTTGCGGAGCCCGTGGACAGAAGTTCGCATCCGCTTTCTGACGCGAATTCGTGTATCTCGTCGGCTTTCTCCTCTATTCTATCTCGAAGGGCCTGGAAGTGGCGACTCATTGTCGCAATGGACATCCTCGGCGCCCAACGAACCTTTGATAAGCCAATCTGAAACAACTTCTAGCTGAACCGCTTTGGACGCAAAACAAACGAAGAGCGCAATGTAGGACTTTACGGAGGCCTACTACGAATTTTCAATGTCGTATAGACAGGGCCACAAAAATCGACGCCACATATAGCAAATGGGCGGAGAGCACGGAGACGATCTGCGGGTAAATTTCCCATAATTTGTGTCATTAGTCGAGGCTTACACTTAAAGCAGCGTATGCATGATCGAACTATCTGACTGCAGACCTCCTGAGCGTTTACGATCCAAATACGCTGTCGAAGGAGACTCACAAGGGCTCGTGGAGCAACATGAAAATTGGAATGGTGATGATGCCGAACATAGCTCTGCACAAATTGGGAGCGTTTTGTCAACAACAATGGAAACTTGGCATCGTATGATATAGGAGCATTAGCTAGTCGCCCCCCAACTCGCAACAAAGAAAAGTGACACCAAGTCCCCTTGTCTTCATGGATGAATGGATTCAATCGCTGAAGACTTGGGCCAACTCTGGAATAAACAAATACCCGGAGCAGTTTAAGGTGTGACGAAAATCCCTCGATGACTTCTACCAAATCCAAATTTCTTACACCAGCGGTCAGTCTGACCGCAGTCTTCCTCGATTCATGTAGGTCAATCTAGGTCAAAGTGTGCATTTTGGGGCCAGTTTGCATCTTCCTCTTTCAAATACGCAGGGCCAGTAAACCTTTTAGACTTTTCGTCTACATCACAACCTCTTGATACAATATCTGCTGGGTTCTGTTACGTTGGAACATGCCGCCAAGTAGCTTCACCTGACCACTCTTGAATCTCCGCAACTCCATTCGATACGAATGTGGACAATGAAGATGGATGAGACCGGATCCAATGAATCGTAACTTCAGAATCCGACCAATAAACAATTCGTTCGATAGGTACCTTTAATAGGGGTTTGATTTTGTGGCAGAGATCTGCGAGAAGGTGAGCGGCACATTACTCAAGACTTGGGAGTGTCTTAGTCTTGAGCAGCGCTACTTTAGACTTTGAAGTCAACAACCTTTTATAACCTTCTGCAGTTTTGCTACGAATGTATACGCAAGCTCCATAAGCTCTTAAGGATGCGTCGGCAACGGTGGACCGGTGACATTGGATCGGTATGCACAAACGGGGGAATAGATTTATCTTCTAGTTTAGACAGTGTCATTTCCAAATGAATAGGAATCGACTCATCCCAATCTAACTTATTTAGCTACATCAAAATATCGTTTAGAGACTTCTTAACTTGGTTGACGTACTTTGGGGTCTCAAAACACATTGATGTGGGATAACAAAATGTGGAGCAGAATGAATTTTATCTGTAGGAGGCATATGACCTAAGGACAGGTACTCCTCCATAAATTCTAAGTACATATTCTTCATCTCAGGGTCTCGAGACAACCTTCTTTCAAGCGAAAAAAAACAGCCGTTTTGCAACTTCAAAAGAGTTGCCTAACCCATTTGGATCAGATTTAAACGGCAGTCTTACTTCAAACCGACCTGATGGCAAAACTTGTGTACTCTTCCGGTAGTGTTCTTTACATAACTTTTGTCCTTCACAACCTGTCCAATGATGTCGCATGCAGAACATGTGACGTGGAAGGCTGATCTTAATTTAAAGAGGGAGAAAGAATCTCTTGGGGTTGTGGCAAAGCTAAACTATTTTCGGTCACTCTTTATCTACGGAGGAAAAGATGCTCCCATCACGAACACTACATTTATTAAATTTGCATTTATAAACAGTGTGACCCATGTGACGCTCCAAAGCGTACAATATAAGTAAATTAACATTAGGAAATATAGACTATAATAATAAGCCTAGGTTAAGAGAAAAACATGAAGTTTAGATAATAAAAGCATGAAGCGGAAGTCAAATAATCAGGCCAGCGCGCCAAAAGGAAGAGCTGGGCACACTGACCACCGACCACAGGGCCACACGCGCTAAGTCCCATGGCACGGTCACACTAATCGGGGCCTACGGGTATAAAAAGGGCACCAAATTGTTGAAACGAACACCTGGCCACCGTTGAACTATCTCAGCACAGCAGGATCTTTACACCCTTTCGCATACAATTGATGTATAAGGAATTTCAACGAATGACATTCTATATTTAGACAAATTAACGAAGGTTGGCGAAAACGGGGCGACTTCGCCGAGAGCGAGAGAGAACTTTATTGTGCTCCCGCCTTCGCCCTAAACTACTACTTCTTCAATTTTTAACAATTTCATGAAAACTTCATAACTTGAGCCAACAGTCTCTTTGGTAAAAGTCCGTAAATACCTCCATTCACTCTCTGTCCGGTAGATGATGGTTGTTAATATTATTACGAATAATACTACTATACATATTGCTTATCTTATAACTTTAATTATCGAAAACCTATCTCGGATTTTATTTTTCATCTTTCACCGGTTCCTCGTCAGAATTAGTATTGCAGGAAACTTAGCTTTCTTTTGACCACGTTTACTTAGATATACATAGTTTTCATTTATTTCTATTTTGTCTTTTCTATTGTTTTCTAATCAAACGCTTTGAATTCTGGTTGCTTAACATTCTAGTGGAACAGCACCACCGCTGACAGGCTGTAAAGGAAACAAGTTTTTTGTTTATTATTTATAATTATTTTGCGACTCAATTGCGCATAGGAAACAAGAGATCTATTTGTCATTAGAATGTGTTCGCCCCACAAATTGTTTGCTTGTTCCTATTTATTATACCCGTTACTCGTAGAGTAAAAGGGTATATTGTATTCGTGCAAAAGTATGTAACAGGTAGAAGGAAGCGTTTCCGACCCTATAAAGTATATATATTCTTGTTCAGGATCACTAGCCGAGTCGATCTAGCCATGTCCGTCTGTCCGTCTGTCTGTCCGTCTGTCTGTCCGTCTGTCTGTCCGTCTGTCTGTCCGTCTGTCTGTCCGTCTGTCTGTCTGTCTGTCCGTATGAACGCTGAGATCTCGGAAACTATAAAAGCTAGAAGATTGCCATTTTGCATGTAGATTTTA